CTTTCTGACTGTTTTGAACTCGTGTCTGTTTCTTTCCCCCCATGCTTGTGAACTGCACAACTTGAGCCTGACTGTACATCTCGAATTTCTTTCATTAAAAAGAAGCACTTTATGTACTGCCATTCTTTCTTTTTTAAAAAAGAACAAGTTTTTTCCATTTCTGTTTAGTCTCCCCTGGATCTACTGGAAGTGACATGAGTGTTTTCTAGTAGTAAACATGAGGGAAAGCAGGAGGGATAGTGATGTATTTCAAAGGAGACTAGATTGGTTCTAAGTGTGCTTAGAGGGTTTTTGTATGGAGATTTTTAGAACCTCTTATAGTCAGCTTTACAAGGGTTTAGAATTCTAGTTGACCAGGTCAGCAAACAGTCAATGAGAGCAGTCCCCTTCACCGCACACAACTGTTGGTTATCCAAAACTGAATTGACTTCCATGTGGTAAATGTCTCAGAACAGTACAGAAGTGTGATCTAGTATACCATGCTGCCTTTAACAAGGAGTATCTTAGAGTTGGACCATTATGAAATGGGGCATGTGCCATATTTAGGGCTGAGATTCCTGTCCTAATATTGGGGAGGGATTTGGGTGTACAGCCGAATCTTAAGCCAGTAAAGGTGGAATGAGGTGTGGATCATACAAGAGTGGTTGTTCAAGTAAAAATTACAAGGGCATTTTATTATAAATGACTCAATGCTGTGCATGATCATGCTGGTGCTTGACCATGAGGTGAAAATCTCATCCTTTTAAAATGTGTGTTGTAACTTCACAAAGCTGGACTGTTGCTTAAAAGTAAATAATATAGAAGTTTTGAAGCAGTGTTTCCTGTGTGGGTTTTATTTCAATGTTTTCATTTATATTTTGCCTCTGTCTAGTATGGTACAGCATGCCTGATCTTTCCTTTGAAATGCTTCCCTTTGTTGTTATAGCAATAGTTTAATTAACCTATGTGTAAATAAACAAAAACACAGGGGGGTTGTAAATCAAGAAACATCCCACAGGCGTTCAGAGTGGAAGGGTCATCTCTGATCACCCTTGTGCTCCACCTCCTCAGTATCCTGTCAGCCAGGGCTAGCCCATGATCTGAAGCATGATGGCTTACATTCCTTTAGAAAAGGTAACTAGATGTGTAATTCTCTCAGAATGGCACTAAGATCTTATTCAAATGACAACTTGTGGCAATGAGTGCCACAGGCTAAATACTTCTCTGCATGCCATTTTTCTGTAGGATGAGAGGGGAAGTAAGTGCCGGATGGACCAACTTTATACCAATCACTATGTTCCAGAGGCAAGCATATCATGACTTAGTTTGTTGCTATTTTTTCCCTCTTTTATATATGCTAACTTATTTTTTTCAAATGGAGCAGTGAAAAGGGGCTCCAGTATTACTTGTCTAGCACCATCGCTTTGAAGTTCCTTTGCATGGGTCAGATTTACAAGCCTGCTCTTCCATCACTATACAGGCATGCGTTACACACAGCAAGAGCAAAACAAACTTTAGTGTTAAAATCTGAGCTTGCCTTGATTTAATTTTTGGACAGACTGAGAAAAGTCAAGTAATTACCCTGTTTCCCCGAAAATAAGACAGTGTCTTATATTAATTTTTGCTCCCAAAGATGCGCTAGGTCTTATTTTCAGGGGATGTCTTATTTTTCAGAAATGAAAAATGCCTTATTATTGGTGGATGCCTTATTATCGGGGAGGTCTTATTATCGGGGGGATGCCTTATATTACAACGAGAGGCAAAACTGTAAGTAGGCCTTATTTTCGGAGGATGTCTTATTTTCGGGGAAACAGGGTATGTTGAGACTCTCCAGGTGCTGTGAATGGCAAAGACTTAAAATAAACTTGTTAGCGCTCCAAATTCTCAATCTGTCCTAAGGAAACAAGAAGGGATAGTGCAGCTAGTTCAAACAGCGCAGGGATCAGCTGGTGTAGGTGAAAAGCTCTAGTTCTCTCATCTACTTATGGTGATATGAACAAATCTTAGTACTACAATCAACCAAAAAAAAAAAAAATAGGTGGGAGGCCTCCTAGAACCCAGCCTTGAAACGGTTTAGGCTTAAAGTTCAGGCACCTTCAGGCCAGGCATGGGCAAGAAAGCACTTCTACAGCTGATCCTAACAAGCCTGCGTCCTTCCTCGCGCCCCTGCAGCACAGACCCGGCTGCGCTTTGGCACTCGTTCTGCCGCAGCTTATTGCAGAGGTGGAGGATTTTCCCCAATCACTGCTCCGGAGCCCAGGCCTCGCCATCGCTTTGGAACCACTTCTGCGCGCGGCCCGCGCAATCCCCAGTGCCGCGAGCGCTGAGATCCCTGCTGCCGCCGGCTTGCCAGGGACTGATGAATATTCATAAGGACAAGCTCCGCCCAGTCCTATTGAAGACTAGCTACTGGGGGCTCTAAGGCGGCCGCCGCCGCGCGTGCCTGCTACCACGTGGGTTCTATTCTAGACGCGGCCGCGCTGCAGCCGGCCCCGGGCGCTATGGCGGGCTCTGCCGCGTCCCGTCTCCGAGTGCTGGTGGACATGGACGGGGTGCTGGCTGACTTCGAGGGCGGAGTGCTGCGGGCTTTCCTGGCCCGCTACCCTGGGGAACCCCACGTGGAGCTGGCGGAACGAAGGGGCTTCTCCGTCCGGGACCAGTACCGCTGCCTGCGGGAGGACCTGGCGGTGAGCGGCCGGGGGCTGGAGCTGGATCGAGGGCAGTGGGACTGGGCAGAAGTATTCCCCAGCACGGCATGTGGGCAAAGGGGGTGCCCCAGCTGGCCGATGCGCTGCACTGCGCGTTGGGGCCCGGGGCAGTGTGCCCTGGCTGGGCAGACGTGCTGCAGGGGGAGGATGCTAATGCGGGGTAGGTGTGTCACAGAGCAAGCTGGTACATGGCTGATCAATGGCTCCAGGTCTAGTTGGCAGCCGGTATCAAGCGGAGTGCTCCAAGGGTCGGTCCTGGGGCTGGATTTGTTCAATATCTTCCTTAATGATCTGAAAGATGGTGTGGATTGCGCCCTCAGCAAGTTTGCAGATGATACTAAACTGGGAGGAGTGGTAGATACATTGGAGGGCAGGGATAGGATACAGAGGGACCTAGACAAATTAGACAAGGGGTTCTCAAACTGGGGGTCGGGACCCCTCAGGGGGTCGTAAACTGTCAACCTCCACCCAAAACTCCGCTTTGCCGCCAGTACTTATAATGGTGTTAAGTATATTAAAATGTGTTTTTAATTTATAAGGGGAGGGTCACACTGAGAGGCTCGCTATGTGAAAGGGGTCACCAGTAAAAAGGTTTGAGAGCCACTGAATTAGAGGATTGGGCCAAAAGAAATCTGATGAGGTTAAACAAGGACAAGTGCAGAGTCCTGCACTTAGGACGGAAGAATCCCATGCACTGCTACAGACTAGGGACAGAGTGGCTAGGCAGCAGTTCTGCGGAAAAGGACCTAGGGGTTACTGTGGATGAGAAGCTGGATATGAGTCAACAGTGCGCCCTTGTTGCCAAGAAGGCTAACGGCATTTTGGGCTGTATAACTAGGAGCATTGCCAGCAGATCGAGGGATGTGATCGTTCCCCCCTATTCGGCATTGGTGAGGGCTAGCGTGACCAGATGTCCTGATCTTATCGGGACAGTCCCAATTTTAAAACATTTGTCCCACGTCCTGACCGCGCATCAGTCGGGATGCCCTTCGTCCTGATATCGGGGACTGCTCACCATCACCACCAAAGTCCTGGGGCTGGCGTGGCGGCGCTTCCTGGGGCCAGTCCCGGCAGTGCGCCCGCCTGCCAACAGGAGCCTGCAGTGCTGGCGGCCCCTAGGCACAGAGGGGAGGGGATCTCCACATGCTGCACCGGTTCCCTCCTGCCCAATCAGAGCTGCGGGGGTGGGGCTTGAAGGCAGCAGTGGGCAGAGAGCCCTCCGCCCCCCCACCCGCCCCTAGGAGCCAGAGGGACCTGCCAGATGCTTCCCGGGAGCTGCCCCAGGTAAGCACCGCCGGGACTCCCCACCTCACCCCCCGGCAGGTCCCTCTGGCTCTTAAGGTCGGGGCCCCATGCGCGGCCGCCATCCCGGGAAGCGCAGCGAGCCGGCACGGCTGCAAGCTGTGGGAGAAGCCCGCCCCGAAGCGGTGGCGCAGCGCCATTGAGGGAGCCGCCACCTGGCTCCTGGCAGCTGGAGGGGGCTCCGGCGCTGCCCCGCCCTGCAGACCGCATAGCTCTGCTCCCCACTCACTGCGCGGACAGCTCCCTGCGGTGTGGGGGCTCCGTTCAGTGCTGGGTGCCGCGCATGCCAGCGGGGTAAATAGCTCCCCGGCCCCTGCCACGCCGCCCCCACATGGCTGCCTTGCCCGGGCCGCTGCCCGCCAGCAGCCGTGACCCAACGAGGGTGTTTGGCTGGGGATTGCAGCCTGCAGAGGCCGGAGGCGGGAAGGGCATCAAGGGGTCCGTGGCAGAGAGCAGGGGCGGGTGGTGCCTCGATGTGGGGCAGTTTCCCATGTGCAGCAGGGGTGGGGGTGGTTATAAAGCCAGGCGGGAGAGTCACTGGCCACTTTGGGTGAGTCTGCACCACAGTTTAAGCGCAGGGTTAGTAGGACTTGAGTCAGCTGAGCTGTGTTAGGGAGCCCTGGGCTTAGGGTGACCAAAGGTCCCAATATTAGAGGCTTTGTCTTATATAGGCAATTATTTCTCCCCACCCCCCAAAAAAAGTGTCCCGGCTTTTTACACTTGCTATCTGTCACCATAGTGAGGCCTCATCTGGAGGGCTGGTCTGTCCTGGCCAGGACCTTCATTCGTGCCCCCTCCCTGCCTCCACTCTGTTCCAGAATAGTCCCTGCTCCTGTGGCTGCTGGAGATGGCTTTGCACCTGGTGTAAGGTTCTCTGAGCTGGGTGTTCTCCAGAGTGGCCTTCTACATGCCTTGCAACACTTCTGTTCTCCAGCCAACTAGCTAGCAAAAGCGGACCAGAACACAGTGATGATTCTGTCCCTTATTTACTTCCAGAAACAGACAAGAAAAGTCAGTCCTGTTATTTATTAGAGTGGCAGCATGAGATGGGGAACAAGGACCTCACCAGACTGAGAGCCAATTCTGCCGTTCACAGTGACCACAGACAAGTGCTTTTAACCCCCATTTCTTTATCTGTAACAATCAGGCTAAATTCTACTCACAGGGGCAATGAGGATTAAGGACCACAAAATGCCCTGTATTATTGAAATGTCTTTGTAGCAGCAAGTCACAGGAGGAGGCTGCATTATATTAAAAATCATACTCATCATTGTACAGCCTGGTCCTTTTCAGCCTCTAAAAATCAGGCCCTTGGCTACAGGTATATGAAACAAACTGTCAGTGACAAGCCTGTGTTCAGCAGAAGGCATCATCTCTGGCGCCTTTCAAAAATACGAGTAAATAAGCTTTGAATTTCCTCGCTTTGGTCATTTTGCCACTAACTTAAACATTTTAAAATAGAATTTGCACTGATGTTATCACCGTGGGGAAGCTGTCGCACTGAAGCCAGAATCTGCTCTTAGACATTTTAATTTTGTTGCTTGAGGCCTTAGAGAGCACATATACAACAACATGGAGAGCAACACAGCAAACCTCCCTCCAGTATGCTTCAGTTGTGGTCTGGCAGGATCGACTGTAAAGCGTGAGGATAACTGAGTCTCCGTGTCCCAGTCTGTCCTTGACCCCTCTGCTGAGGGTGCCAATTATCATGGTGTGGTGTTTTGGGGTGTTCGTTTGATGGCATGTTTGTTTGTTTGTTTTTGTAATGAGGTGGATATATATCTACTGGGAACTGGAATGAGATCCAACAACTCACTTCACACAGGCCACCAGATGGTAACAACTTTCAGGCAGTAGCTGCCTGGCCTGGATTTGTCCTGGCAACCAGTGGGTGAGACTGTGACCCATTACCAATTATCTCAGCCACTTGGTCTCCGAAATGTGGACAAAATAGGTCCTTTTGATGGTGAATAATACCCCCGGGGTAAATTCAATAGCTATTATGCAGAAAGCTACAATAAAAAAAAATACTGCTAATTCTCCTCCTCTCTCTTCCAGGCTAAGGTAGCGAGTGTCTATGAGTCACCTGGCTTCTTTCTGGGGTTGGAGCCAATTCCAGGAGCCATTGAAGCCATGCAGGAAATGATCCATATGCAAGAGTAAGAACACTTTGCAGTACACAGCCCTTTTCTATTCTCCATGTTTGATGACTACTAATCAGGGCTGTTTCTTTTTAGCATTGAAGTTTTTATTTGCACGAGCCCCCTGCTGAAGTATGAGCACTGCATCCTGGAGAAGGTTGGAGATCTTCCCCCCTCCCCCCTCGTTTTAAGACAGAATCCAGCCCCTTTCAACTGTTAGTACGTGCCCAAGTATCATACCAATATGTGCAAAGCCAAGCTGCAGCCTGTGAAGTCTGCAGGACCCAGCACGCAAAAATACTCCATCTGAGTGGCACCTTTTCAGACTGAGAGGAAGTATTAAAGGCCAGAAGTAGTGCTGTGTCATGCCTTTTGCAAGGCATCTGGAGTCTTATGCAATGGAAGCCAGAATATAATACTTAAAAACCAAACCAGACAAACAAACAACAACTTTCAGCAACTCATACCCACAGTACCAAGAAATGGCATGGGAAGAGTGGGGGAGGGTAAAAGAACAGATGCAATATGGTCAAGCAGATGGAGGCTTGACTCACTGCATACTCCAGAGGCAACCAAGGGGTGTCTGATGCACTGCACTGGGAGGGGACTGCATGCCAGAGGCTCCTGTGAGAAAATCCTGACTAAATTGAGAGATGATCACTGTCAGGCAGGAATGCAGGGAGAGAGGGGTTTCTCAAGTACTTTGGGGTTAGATAATGAAGGGTCTGGTATACGCCACAGGTTGACTCTCCTCTCATGCGGCTTTACACCAGTGTAACTTCATGGTACCCAGTGCAGTCATGAGTGAACGGCATTGAAAGTACAGTTCACATTGGTCCTTTTAGTGTCCTGCACCACGGCCCAATTGCAGGGTTCATAACACTCCTAGAAGAGATTTGGGCCTGTAGCATGAGATCACTATGTTATAAACTGTCAAACTTGTTGCTAAGTAAAATTCTTCTAATGCTCTACTTCCTCCCCAACAGTACAGCTGGGTGGAAAAACACTTGGGTCCTAAGTTCGTGGAGCGACTGATTTTGACCCGGGATAAAACAGTTGTGTCAGCTGACCTCCTGTTCGATGACAAAGACACCATTAAAGGTTTGGGAAACTTGAGGTGGAGATTTCACAGCAGATGATTTACTGTTGTTTGGGGAAAAGAATGACTAACTTCAGCTTTCCATTCTGGCTCTTCTCAGGTGCGGAGCCTGAGCCGAGCTGGGAACACATCTTGTTCACTTGCTGCCATAACAAGCATCTAGAGCTTCAGACCCCACGTAGGCAGCTGCAGTCGTGGGCCGATGACTGGAGGGGGATAGTGGAAAGCAAACGCAGAAGTAATGCGGAAAAAGAATGCTATGCTAGTCTCATTGCCAATGGAAACGGACAAGTTGGGAACTGGCAACGAAATCCCATTTAAAGGAAGCGCACTGACCTGGGTAGGGGCAGTTTTAAGGGCCAAAGATACAAAGCTTATTTTTTAAGATTTGCATCTTCTTTAGACTATTTGGAGGGAGAAACTCGACAAGAGATGAGCAGCTGCTTATAACGCTCGGTAGAATGTTTTGGGTTGGCAGGAAGGGAGGATGAAGAAATTAGAAAGAGGAAGTTGGGCTGTAAAACTCCATGAAAGCACTCTGCCCTCTGTCCCACTCACTGAAACTGTAAGTATGAGGGACATAGTCACGTTAGGAAAGGAAATCTTGTTTTCAACAGTTTAACAATCTCGTATTCTAAACCAGATTGGCTGTTCAGCACCCATCCACTTTTTCCCCTGCTTGGCTCATAATGAAAGTAGATAGTTTCACTTCCTGGTTCTCCTGCATTAATGTGAGCTGCTAAGGTTTGGGTTGCAAATGCTGTACTCAGTGAATGTCTGATCCAGAACTGTCTACACTTAATGTTTTATTCAGAGTAAGTTTTACAAAAGCTACTACAAGACTGGTTATCCTTCTGAGCTGCAGTCTGCTGTTAGTATTCCCTTTTAAATCTTAATCTGCATCTTTCCCACCAGCTATGTTGTGGTGAATACATTATTCCTATTGATATTTAACATCAGTGGAGCTAATTAACTGGCCAGGTGCCCGTGGTATGAGGATGCTGGCTCATACTTAGTCCTGAGGTATGTGATCAGACTGCAAATTGTAGGGGGAAGAAGGTGCGTTCTCTCCTACTGAGAAATAAAGAACATATGATTTAAACATATTTCAAAGCTATAATTGAGAAGATGGGCAGCAATAGCTGCAGCTAGGGTGATGGTGATGCAAAAGAATTGTGTTGGGTTTACATTACCTGACAACCACACTGGAAATGGTAACATCAGAAATGGTTATTTGGATGATGGTTCAGGAGTCGCTTGTCCTGCTTTCTAACAGCCATAATTTGTTTTGTAGCAGTTTAGCTGCTAATCCTGTCTTCTGGACCCATGGCCCGGCTCCCCATCTGCCCCTTTCAAACTGAGGCAGAATGTTAGGAATGTCTTTCACTAGTTTCACCAGCCTCTTGACCTATCCTGCAGGTGGAGGGGGCTCTAAAGATAGAGTCAAGACTATTTCTTCTCATTCAATAATAATCTTAAACTACTCCATCTGCCCTGCATAACATCAGTCCTTTGGGAGCGGGATCCCTACAGCTGTATGTTTGCTCAGGTTCCTGGCCTCCTCCACCTGCACAGGAGAGCAATAATCCTCAAGGAAGACCCTTGCTAGGTTGCTTAGCCTCCTGTTAGCTGAGAGGGAGAAACGTAACATGCACTCCACCACCGCGAACGCTGTGGTCTGTTGGCGAGACTGTGGTGTGGTCAAGTACATCAGAGTAGTGACTGCCGACATCACGGTCTCCTCATTTGAGCTGGATAAGCAGTTTATTACAGGTGCCACCCCATCTGCCTCCAAAATATAGTCCTTGTTTGTTTTATCCAGACAGAGATTACAAAGACCACCTGAAACAGAAAGGAGAGAGTGTGTGGTACCAGCTACCACCACCTTAGATCACCCTTAACACCTAACTAACTCCCTCTCGAGGTTCAAGTGGCATTGCTGCAACCAGGATCCTCAACTCTTTCTTAGGGCTTGTCTACACAGTAACTAAGATCAAAATAACTGATCGTTGCCGTTCATGCCTTTAGTTAGTTCAGAGCAAGTCTAACACAGATAGTTTTCTTTAAAAACAAAAACAACCTACTTATGTTATATCACAATAGGATGCTCTTGTGTGTCCATACACAGACTTGCACTGAACTAACTACAGGTGTGAATTCCACCCAATTTAATGTGCTCATTACTGGTATATAAAGTACATACAATATCAGAAACAAAATACTGGTTTGCACTTCACTGAGACCCTTGTCCCCACATAGACTCAACTGGCCAGAATATTTTTATAGTAGGTGGAAAACTGTCCACCCTGCTCCCGGAATAAGTTTATTCTCAAAAGTCTGTCCTTCCTTCCTCAAGGTGATTTTTCAACCAAAGCACTCATTCCCCTATATGACATTAGGGGGCGCTAAGCTCTTAGAGGTAACATCTTTCACAGGAGATTAAACAAACACAGAACTTGTCATTTAAAAATCCTCTGGTAAATTTTTCAAGAGTGGGGTTAAAAGACTTGGTTTTCTGTTAAGGAAATGCCTTATTTCATCTCTGAGGTGGCTACAATCCAGTAAAGAGTGAGAGATTCCTAGAAATACTCCCTGTGCTGTACAGAAGGTATAGCGAGATTTTAATTAGTTATGAGAGGTGCTATTAGAAGTAGCATGGCATTATTAATACTAATTAAGATATTGTAAATATGATTTCTATTACTTGGTGCAAATACTAATATGTATCCTGTCCTAACAACACTTTGCACTTAGGGTGCAGCCATACTAGCCTCATTTTGATCGATGACATCCCCAGTGCAGCTCTGCTAGCGGAAGCTGTAGTAAGTACACAAGGCTATGTGTATTCAGGATTTGAATTTGGCATGTCTGGCTCCCAGTTTGTATTGAATCCACACTGACTGGCTCTAATGGGATTCCTCAGAAGACTTCATTATATTTAGAACAGGTCCTTTTAGAGGATTAACTGTCAACAATAACAGTAACACAATATTGGACTTGCTCATGCTCTATGGCAAAACCTTAGTTGTTCTCAATGACTGTATCATTACAGTAGGGATGTGGGTTAAAAATTATCATTAAACTAGATTTTTTGTTCCAATATCCCAGGTTTTACCTAGTCTTAGAAAGTAAGTTTGTTTATTTTTCAGCACTGCAGCATGTTAGTGGAGCGAAGGGGAGACTTGTCTTAATGTGAAATAATTCACCTCAAGCCCCTAGCCTGATGTCTCTCACCTGTTCCAGCTATTCTATTCTATATAGGTTTTTATACTGCCCTCATCACTGTCACATCACAGGACATTGTCAATACCGCATTGAGTAACCGAGACTACCGACCAGGGAAATAACTCACTTCCTTCCCTGAAGGACCAAGGGACGCGCCCCACCCATGTACTTATCCGCTACACCGATACTGACTCAGATTCCTTATTCATTCCATAGGTGGCGTACCCGAGCCCACTTATCCACTGACACTTTAAAAACCCTTGCACCCCAATCTGGGTCTATGCAGGTTATGCGATATGTATGTATCTTCTCATCCTTGCAAACGATACCTGTAACCCGCCATAACCCAAGCCTGACCCCAGATGTACAGTACCTTGCCTCTTAACTCATGTATATTGCATTATAAACATTAATAACAAATTTAAATCTGAGGCCCTTCCACTAGTGCATTAAGCAGTTTGATCAACATTTGTCACAGATAGTTTGTCATCTGTGGTTGATCCTCTCTCCCAAATTCAAGTGGACTACAGAATCAAAGCAGCGAGGCTAGCATCCCCTGACCCATCAGTACCCAACCAGTGCTTGGAACTACTACTATTCATTTTACAAATAGTTTTAAATCCACTCCTTACCAATTGCAAACTCCACAAGGATCTCATTGTCCTCTGTGAGCATATCCAGGAACAGGTCAAGGACTTGAAGCTGTCGGAGATATTCATAGTTCTTGGGATCGTAGGCGAAGTTGGCTAGATTAGCCAATACTTGCTCCTTGGCTTCTGGAATACATAAGCAGCATTTAGGTGAAAAAAGAGGCAGCTGAAGTGGGCTGGGCTGTCTAATTCCTGAAGGAAAAAAAATCAACCAGCAACTGATGAGCCAGTTATGATCCTGACATTTGGAATATACTTTAAGAAAAAAATGATAAGCTCACCTGGACTCTCTGTTACCTGGAACTCGGTGACCAGCGCTTGTAAGTATTCAAGCCGCCCCAGTTCCAGCAGATCCCGCTGCTTTTGGGACATGGTGCTAGAGAGAGAAAATTAAGTTTTGTTCACGATGTCCTGAATGGCCCCAGTTTCACTGCAAGGTTAATAAAAACATTCTAACAAATGTAGAATATTCAATTGATTTTCTTTTCCCTCCCTTCAGGCTCACTGAGGGAACTGCAAGTGGCAGTATTACAAGCTCAGGCCCTGTCCATGTTTGGATCAGAACCATGCTAGCTACAACGGGGTTTAAACATGCCTTATCTGCACTGAGAATCATTGACAATTGTCCCATCTTCGATCTAGCATTAGTGCAGCTCCATTAGTGGTATCATAGACTACTCATGAGTATTGGGAGCATAAGCTTTCGTGGGTAAGAACCTCACTTCTTCAGATGCAAGAAGTGAGGTTCGTACCCACGAAAGCTTATGCTCCCAATACTTCTGTTAGTCTTAAAGGTGCCACAGGACCCTCTGTTGCTTTTTACAGATTCAGACTAACACAGCTACCCCTCTGATACTCATGAGTGTTTTTACTATAGTGTCTTCTAAGCCTTTTCTGAGTAGGGCTAGATGAATGCTGGTAAAAACTCCTGATCCTCACCTACACTACAGTTTCCATCATTGCAACCTTTGGTGAATTTGTTATGGTGATTTTCCTAGAGTAGATGAGGCCAGTTTGAATGGGGCGGAAGCGCCCTCTATGCATAAAATGCACTATTGCCAATCCCAAACATTCAAAAATGGAGAGTCAAGGTGCACAAAATAACGAGACTGGTTTAAAAACCACAAGATTTGCAAAGAAAATAATACATTTTTGTTTCTATTTGCCCTGAGGTTTCCGAACCTTTAGGCTGCACTGGATCAGATTTTCATGATTTTCTCCACAACAAGGGATAGAACCTGACTTTTTTTTAAATGAAAGATTCTCACCTAGTCGCAGGACTCCAGGAGCTGGGGCTTTAAGAACCCTTAACTCCAGTTATTGCAAGACTCCCACCGAAAATCAGAAGAGCTAGCAACACTGTGGGTGGTCCAGGTTACCATCCAGGTGCCTCCTGCCGGGTTATAGGAGGACCCTCCGGCTTTACAATCCAGCTCGGGGCTTACACCGCCGAGGACGCCAGCAGTGGGGGTTCGGGGCCTGTGGGGCGCAGCTCCCAGCGCGGCAGGGCACAGCCTAGGCGGGCAGGGACCCGGGACGGGACCTACTGCGCTGCTACCCAGGCCCCTCGCTCCGCAGCCCTGTCACCCAGCCAGCCAGCCACCCTCACCTCACCTCACCTCACCTCACCTCACCCGCAGCGCGCCCCGCGGCGTCACTAACCGCTCCTAGCGCCACACGGGGCATAGACAAGGCGACCCAAGCAACGGGGCGGAAATGACGTAGAGGGAAAACCTGAAAGAAGGGCGGAAATACTGAGAGCGGGGCCGGACGTGACGTTGGCGGAGGGCGGGAGGCCCCGAGGCTTGTAGCGGTGCCCCGCTGCTGCCCGCCATGGTGGGCCGTATGTCGGCGCGGAAGCGCCTGGCAAAGCCCCTCCTCTTCGGCAGTATCCTGTGTGCGCTGGCCACCGCCTTCGTGTACAGGTGCGGGGAGGAGGGGCTTGGCCGGCAGAGAGCGGAGGGGAAGTGCTGTGGGGCTTAGTTGGGGGGAGCGCACTGGAGGCCTTGGCCGGCAGGGATTGGGGGGCAGGTGTGGGGGGGTACTGGGGGCCTTGGCTGGCAGGGATTGGGGGGCAGGTGTGGGGGGGCACTGGGGGCCTTGGCCGGCAGGGATTGCGGGGAGCTCAGCTGGGTGGGGGGCGCTGGGGGCCTTGGCTGGCAGGGACTCAGCTGGGTGGAGGGTGCTGGGGGCCTTGGCAGGGATTGGGGGGGCTTAGCTGTGTGTGGTGGATTTGGGCAGGGGCCCTCACTTCACTGCAGTGACCATCTTTCTCTGTCTCAGGCACCGCTTCTTCCCTGAGGTGGAGGAGCTCCGTGCCAGGGAGTACGAGCACTATGAGAAGAAGCGCCAAGACGTGGTGGAGAGGCGCCAGAAGCAGCTGGCTGAGCTGGCGGCGAGAAAAGCTTCCCCGTAGTCTGTGATAGGAAGGAGAGGCTCTGCTCCAAGGAGCCTGCTCCTTCAGTGGGCATGGGGAGCTGTGTTGGGAAGTGAAGAATGTATGTATATAACTCTCGCACATGGCACATGGCTCACGTGGACTGGGTGAAGTTTCCATCAACCTGGCAGGGATGTTGGCTGGTGACTTTCCTCCCTCAACTTGCTTGATATGCATGAGTGATGGCTTCAAATATCTACCAGGTGGTATCATGGTCTATTAGTCAGATCAGGGCTCTGACAGTCTGGAAGTGTGGGTTCAATTCCTAGCTCTGCCAGTGATCTGCTTTGTGTGATGTTGGGCAAGATACTCAACCTGTCTGGGGTTGTCTCCGCTAGGAAAAGTAGTTGAGTTTAGATTGGACTCAGCTAATGTGCGAGCTGAGCCTAACCTAAATTTGACCCTTTTCCTAGTTTAGACACCTTTAGCTAGTCAAATTGTAGCCTAGAAGATGTTACCCGGCATCTACACTAGGAAAAAAAAAAAGTCAGGTTTCGCTAACCTGTATTAGCCAAGCCTGATCTTAACTTGACCACTTTTCCTAATCAAGAAAAACCCTCTGTGCCTCAGCTTTCCTATTTGTACAGTGGGGTAATAATGCTTGCCCACTAGTATGAAGCATTCTGAGATCCTTGGATGAATGGTGCTATATAAGTGCTAAAATAACTGACAGGTGGTAATATATCTGGGCTAATTGCCAGGTAGGGTGTGAGGTGTCCAGAATTCTTCTGGATCTCTTCAATGTAACAACATTGTATATCTTATCTAAAGTGATTTTTGTAATATGTTGTTTCTGCCATGAGTGTTGCACACCACCAAATAACACTTTAACCACAACTTCTGTCTGATAGGTAATCTTTAAGAGTGACTGACGAGCTTAAGTTAGGTATAAAATGACCAATCTCTGGGTACAACCCACTGATTATTTATTGCTCTGAGTGGCATTCACAGCAGGCTTCTTACTGTTAATTGGAATGTTTTCTTCTCTATATTTTATGCTGAAAAATGAAGGGACCACTCTCCCTTGAAATTACAGATATAAATAAACAAATACCATAATGTCTAACGCTTCCTGTAGTAGAGAACCTTGGATAGGAGCCTTTTGTTTGCTTTAGGAAGGGCCTAAACTTTCCCCATGCGATGAAGAGTTACCCACACGTAAGGCTTTCGCTCATTAACTTTGTATTTCGGTACAACAATATTTTTTAAATCCCCTGTCCTGTCCTACTTCCCCAAACTGCTGTAATATCTGCATTCGGAAGAATGGCCATACTTGGTCAGACCAGTAGTCCATCTAGTTCAGTGTCCTGAATTCAACCTGCTACTAGAAGGGCAAACAGCTTCATTCCAGGCTGTACCTGTGTTGACCAGCCTTGTAGACAAGGACAACAAATTTCATACCTACTCTGGACTCAAATGGAATCTGTTCATCCGCCCCTTTTGGGTTTGTTTACTCTGGTAAATTATTAGACATGCTGAGTTGCAAAACAGCGGTAAAAGAAAAGAGTGCATGTGTGGGAATAAAGTTTTGAGACCCTTGGGAGAAGAAAGGAGAGAGAAAACATACAGGAGATGATAGAGAACAGAAAATAAAGTAAGGAAAGAAAGAGGAAAAGGGCAAAGTGGAGGGAAAGAGAATGAAAAGAGGGAACAGCACATGTACAGGAAGTTACATGCTTTATAAAAGGAAAAGAAAAGTAGAGTGAAGCCAGGAGCGGGAGGAACATCTAGCAAAAGGACAGGGGATAACTCTATGCCAGGAGTACAATGTCCTGGTCTAAATGCAAAGTTGCACAGTTTTAACCAAAGGTGTGATTCTAAACCAGTTTACTTAAACTGGTGCCAGCCGAGCACTCTTAAATGGACTTAAACCTGGCTTGTGTCCATTTAGCTTACACCTATATTATTTACTTATTTATATTTCATTTGTATTACTTGTAAAGTTACAGGTGTGAGCTAAATTTGATATAAACCGTCTTAAACTGATGAGTGCCCACACAGGTTTACACTGTTTAGTTAAATTGAGTTTTAAACCAATTCAAGTTAAACCAGTGCAGCTTCAGTAGACAAGGCTTAGCCTAGGAGTTGGAATGAACTGATTAAATAGAAAGATGATTGCTACAATTAAATGCAGCACCCAATCATTTTAAAATTATAGGGGTGTGGCTGTGTGTGTGTGTTAAAGTGCAGGTATTTTTACCCTACGCTTGTAGGTGTAGGCCAGGTTTGCACTAGAAACTTTTGTCAGTGTAGCTGTTGGGTAGTGGTGTGTGTTTTGTTTTTGTTTTTTGTAATGACACTTTTATATTGGCAAAAACCCTACTCTATAACCACTGCAGTTATACCAGCATAAACATGCTTTTGCCAGCATAGCTTATTTCATTCAGGGAACCGGTATAAGGGAAACCAGCAAAAGCACTCTTTTGGTGGTATAAGCAGCATCTCCACTAGGAGGGTTTGCTATTATAGTATACCAGCAAGCCTTTTTCTAGAGTCCACTTGGCTTGTGTCCTTAAGGTAGTAGTTGTAGTATTTTCAAGCCCTACCCATCTGTAAATGGAGTTGGGGGGAAGACCGTAAGTGCAGGGGAACTAGCCAGTGTTTGAATGTGGAAGGGTGGTTGGGAAGAATATGTGAATGAGGGGAGAGAGATGGAGGAGGATTGAGGGAAGACAGAGAGAAATGATTAAGAAGAGTTAAACTGAATGTAGGGGATGGAGAGGAAACATGCTGAGAGGGTGAATAGGGATGAAGGAGCTGCACTCAGAAGTATTAAATCTGTGCTCAGTCAGCCTGTAATTCTGCACACACAATTAGAAGGAACATTGCCCTGTGGCACATACTGGTTTTGCCCAAGGAACAGGGTTTGTGGAAATGGCTTATGTCCACTAGCTGAAGCTGAATGTGCGTACCGTAGGGGCACACTGTTCAGTTCATGCTATTCATTGCAAGACTGGTGGGGGAATAAGGCAACAAACCATCCATAATATCAAGAGAAACCCAACTTTGCTTGTCTTTTTGAGACCTGCTAGTTCTGTTTCCTCTGTCTGTAGTCTTGCTTCAGCATAAACCCAAGTTGGCCAGAAGGTGTGGGAGTGCTTTTTGCATTTAATAAGGAGGAGCTGTGTGGAGGTGAGTTAATTGTGTCCTCCTAGCTTGTGAGTCTTGTGAGGTTTACATAGCAATTGTGGTAGGGAATTCACAGACCACACTAGTACTCTGTGACAGGACCCTTTTTGGGGCAATCCAGGTGCTTATCACCTTCAGGCTAGCTTACAGCAATGAGCTTGACTTGGTTACACTTGAAGACCATTTGTCAGCTTCAGCTGGTGCAGAGTAGTCCTCTGTGAACATGTCACTCTGATGCTCTGTGCTGGCTGTTTACTTATAGTTGTTGGGTATGTTCTCTAAACGTCCGAATGTGCAAAGTACCAGGTAGTTGACAGGGTCATTAACATCTACTGGGATAATATTGCTAACAGAGCATTTACAACTGAGGATCTGTACCCGTGGACCTGGTTTCTGCTGGTAGGCTACCAGAGCTGGAATTCAGTGAGTTTTAGGTTATAACAGGCATATGCCCATTAAGGATTTGATGCTTAGAAATCACAGTGATGGGTGCCTAAACTCAATAGGTTGTGTTGTAAGGATCTGATTGCAATACCCATTGTTACAGGACCACAGCAATGGGTACATTGTTTAAATATCTATGAGAATGTTAAATTTGATCATAATCATGAAATATTCTTACGTCTGAACGCCTAATCTGTACGTCATAGCAATAAACAAACAGGCTTATTGCAAAAGTGCTTAGCCCATAAAGGTGGATGAGACCTGCAGTGACAATGGGATCAGGGATGTGAATTTATTTCTGGACAATTTTGCCTGTTCTGCCAGTGCTCAGTGGTTTATAACCTGGCTGAGGTAATAATGTTTGGATATAATTAAAACTGATTTCACTTTCCTGTCTTTAGGAAGTCGGTAGAAACCAGTTGTGCTTCAGGGGAGAGGGGGTAGTTAAGCTGCAGCTGCATTGCATAATTGGGTAACCTTAAATCGAATGAAAGAAATCTTTGTTACCTTATTTTCTTATGACCTCAAGGCCCTCAGGGCTTGAGTTCTAATCTTACTGTTCTGCTGTATCGCTCCAAGGGGGGGCATTTTTTAATTATTCCTATTGCATCATCAGTGTGCATGGCCCTTTACGAATAAATACAAGGACCCAGCCCAGAGGAGCTTATAGTCTAGGTTGAGAAAAGAGGCAGAAGGGATGTGGATTAATGATGGGGGAGGAGGACAAGAGCTATTGTTTCACCTTTACAATCTAGCCATCAGCCAAAATCCAAGAGGAGCTGTGATCCCTGGCCCTATTAATCCATAAAGAAGAGACATGAAGCCTGATCTCACATGGCAGCACAGTAAGGAGCTGAGTCAGTTACCACTCATGAATTTAATATGCCATCTCTTAACTCTATAAACTCTATTTTTTCCTAGAAAAATGTCTCAACCTGTATGAAAGCCAATCCAAACAAAAACTAGGGCGCTGTCCTTGTAATTTAGGAGTAGAGTAGCAAAACACAATTCCCTGTACTTGTTTCTGGATAAATGTATCTTCACTCTCTTCCCTAAACTGTTGTGTAATGTTGCTGCTTAGGTAGGCTCTATTTACGTCCATCCCCAAGTTTCTTTTCAGTAGTGGAAGAAGTGATCACTGTCTGTCAGTTTTCTGAGTTTGTGAAATGTTAGTTCTTTTTCTTTATCATGTGGGGAGCAGCATGCATCATACTGTTCATTCCCTTGTTTGAGCGAGCCATGACTAGTAACACTGTAGATGCAGTACAGTCAGTTATTGAAAGGGAGGGAGATGCCTTCCATTGCTCCTTCAAGTGACTATTCTGTCTAATTTAGGAGCAATTTTGATGTGTTCACATCCTGTCCTCCTTGATTAGGACATTTATTACAACAGGGGACCTTGAGGTAAGTAGAGATCAGTTGACTCCACCTCTGTGGGAGAAGAAAAGGTTAGGAAGGAGTGGCAGGAAACACAAACCACTGAACTGAATTTAAAATTTAGGGATCATGTACAAAAAAAACAAACCCCACACATGCTGCTGCCTAGCTCCTTTATTCACAAAAGTTAGAACAGGTCTGAGACTCTCACCCTTCTTATTGGTTTGTTCTGATGGAGGAGAAAAACTGTACATTTCCTTAAGGATCAAAGAGTGCTTATGTATAGCCAAACTGAGTGACAACAGTCCCAGCTGTTTGCTTTGTGGTTGCTGGCCACATAGGCTTTACACAAGTTACTAAATACATATGACTAGAGATAAGACATTTCTTTAAAAGCACATAGCTGCATATAAACATCTCCCAACTGTAATCTTATTTAAGGATATATTTGACAAAGGAAGGCAAAGTGTGTTGGACCGTTGTCAAAAGAGGCACTGCTAGATGGTGGGATCCTCGCAAACCATAATGGTTAGATATGAATGCATTTATAGTCTGGAGGCTCAGCTTTCTAGTGGTTTAATGCATTTGTTTCTAGGCTTGTCAGGTTGGGACCTCATAATCATATCATTCTAACTAGCAGCTGTTTTTTTCATTAGAATTGTAACATGACTTCAGTATCTGTTATCTTGGCAACCACTAAAGCTAGAAGCCAACGCTTCTACTTTCTGAAAGTATCTTAAACTTCCATCTTTCAAGGGTTTAAAACATTAATCTCCACCTCCAACGTTCTGTGAGAGATCTGCTGTTAGTCATTTCAGAACTGAAGCAGAATAAAAGCAAAAATGTATTTTATGTGCATTATGATAGCTGGTATCTTGGGCCACATCCAGAGAAGAGTCTAAGCTGGTACAATTATAGCTTCTTCCGTGTTACACCATCTTAGATGTCCTTTAGACTCTTTTCCATTTATATGGGGACAACCCATTTACCAACATGTAACTTACACCCACATTTAGCTTACCCCTCATCTCTGAATTTGGTTCACTAAGGGACCAAAGGGAGTTCAAGCTGGTATAACTCACATGCTAAGGCCACAAAACAGGAATGTAGCAAGAAAGACCACTAACAGTAGTGTATAAGTAAAACTAAATTTCCCACACACACACCCCCGCCCCAATTTCTTCTGACTCTGGCATGTAAATGACACCAGCGTAGACTCCCTTTTATACTGGAAAATGGGTGTCATTAAGTCTGAGAGTCTGAATGAGGAGCTACCCCCATTTACATAAGATGAGGATCTGGCCCTCTGAGTGTAATAGTCTAGCTTACCCTGACTCTGAACTTAGTCCAATATCTGGACTAGTGCAATTGCTTTCAGGCCCGGTACATTTTTCAAAGTACTGGTCCTGGACTAGTGCTGAAACAAAAAAATGTCCATCCCTGTATTTGCCACTCATTCTCTCTGTTTTAGTGCATTTACACTGGCCGTGAACTGTCAGATTCTTTCTTGCAGCACACCTTGGTAAAGGTGGAGAGGAGAGAGCTTAAGACATCATGGCACAGGCTATAAAATGTAGGCACTTTGAGTCTGTCCAGTTTGATTGGGGCTTTGGATTTGAACTTTTATTTTCCTGAAAATGCCCTTGAAATGCAGGAATGATTTGGTTACTAGCATGTAAAAAATTCATTTGGCCTACACACAACTGATAGCAGGCACTAGCCTGGGTTCTACAACCTGTGTAATATTCCATGCAATAGCCGGAGACGGAAGAAAGCAGCAACACATCCCCCAGTAAAGGGGTTTTCCCTGCCCTGCATGGGAGGCAACCAGATGACTTCACTGCAAAGTTAGTCTTTGCTAGGTTGGCATGTCCAGACAAGGCGATTCAGTGGTATTTTAACTCTTCCAGGACTGACTGACTGTCGCTGTGTCAGGAATCATTGTAGTGCATAACCTAATAAATCTTTCCAGTCTTTAAAATTGAAATATATAAAAAATGTACAGCCTTTTTATATTAAAAAAAAAGTCACTGTCAATTTAATTCTATTAGCTTAAAGTCACACACGTTAAGTCACAGAACTACTATCCTTGCCTTATGGGCTTGCACCAGGTATAAGAAGTGCTCCTTGTTCTTTGGCTTTCTGGCTGTTGCAAGGCTTTGGGCTCTGCCTCTGATCTGGATTTCCCATCTGGTATCTGAGGCAGCGCTGCTGAGTAGATGCTCACTGCAGGAGGCAGATGGGTTATTGTGGAAAGCAGGCATTTCCCCCATCTGCCTCCAGTTACGCTACATGTTGCGGTTGTGTGGGCCACAGAATTCTAAGAGTTCCTCTTCGTTCAGATGCTTGTGATGTACATGACGGCAGGAGGGGCTTGTTTTTCAAGCTCTGGGTTAGTTGGCACTTCGGTGTATTGGTAGCTGGAGGGGCTATTGGAGGTTGGCTTCAGAGCCTCTTTCAGTTTGTTCTTTCTGTCTAAAGCACAGAAGCTGAGACCCATGAAGAGCGCAGCTGACACCATGATGAAGCTGGAGGCGTAGAAGACGTAACTGAAGTGGCCAGTTATATCCACCAGAAGACCTGAAAGAGAATCAGGGCTCAGCCAGAGCAAAGCTGCACACCAAAGAATAGTATTTTACATTGATATAGTCCCCAGGGACCCACGCAGTTCCAAACTGCTGCAGACACAGCACTCAGTTCACCCACCACTGAAATGCAGCTGCCTGTGAAGTGGAACAAAGCAGCTGTTTAAGAAGTGCTACCCAGCATGGCAGGACAAAGTGGTGATACCTCTTCCGAGCAGAATGCCAGACTACATGGATGCTGGAAGCTGATATAATCACAGCCTGTGGGCATTGGTCTACACTGCAGCTGGGAGCAAGCCTGGCTAGACAGATTCATGCAGTTATCTTAATTTAGCAGCACGGGATTGGCGGAGGCTCTGGCTAGCGACCTGACGTCAGACTCAGGGCCAGGTGGGTCCAAGCTCAGGGGCTTAGTCCAAGCCTCTGCCAGTGCTGCAATGGCCATGCTGCTATTTTTTAGTGCGCTAGCTTGAGCCGATCTGTGCGAGTCTGCCGGGCTGGGAGGCATGCTCCCAGGTGCAGTGTAGACATCCGCTTTGTGGGGGAGGAAGAATGAAGAAATTAACTAAGTAAGGATGTGGCGTAATGGCTAGTGCAGGTTGTATGTCCCTGTCCCCCACCCCCGAAATAGCACTTATAGCAAATATTTCTCTGAAATACCCCCAAAAAGGCTTGGTCTGTTTCCTTTCTGAACCAGGCCAATGCTCATTGTCCACACATGGATTAAGTTCTTTGTGTGGTCTTAGGGCTATTAGTACACACAGCTTGGCTCTGCTTTCTGCTGTTGCCATGAATGTTTGCTCCACAAGAGGCCACGTCATTAAAGAAGAGGTGGGGGGCAACCCAGTTTCCATTTCACGCAATACATTTTTGTTTTGTTTCTGCAACTGGGGTCCCATAACCCTTGCTGCTGATAGTCACCGAATAGTGGAATGTGTTGTCCTGTGAACACTTGAGATCAGAGGACAAAGCAAGTAAGATAGCAGTCTGTACAAATTAACTTGGTTTGGCCTCTATGCTGAAAACACTTTAAAATGGCTCGGTCAGGATGGGGAAACTTTGCAGAGCAACAGATATTAGCTAACCAATTCTCTTAAAGTGCTGTAAAAATATAAAGTCTTCTTGAAGGGTTGTTAGCAATACTAACTATTAAAATGTTGATATTTATTTGCACACAATAAATAACCCTCCCAGAAGCTAGGCATGGAAAGAAAGACTTAGATCAGGCAGTATTCAGCTGGTATGTAAGATGTTCCTATACGCTCGTGCGTGTGTGGTGGGGAGAATTCTGCAGTAATGTTCATTACTTGCATGCATTAAATGCTAACATCTTAATTAATGACACCCTTCGTAAGGATTTCTCCTTGTACTGGTATAAAGTGTCAGCACAAGTGCCAAGTGTATAGGTATAAAGAGCAAAAGTAAATATATTCCCACTGTTTTATTAACAGTAATAAGGCTGTGCCCTGCTGCAGCACCTCCCATCGGAAGATCTCCAAGCAAATAACAAACATGGATGCCATAAGTCTCCGAACACTCCTGGGAGATAGAGACATATAAGAGATATTATCATCCCCTTATTAGAATGGCCCCAGAGTTTGCAGGCCTGCCCTGCTGAACGCTGTGTTCCTGTCACTTACAGGTGAAGCTCCACTTGTACAATGGGGAATGATACAGTACAAGGCAGTATAAAATAGCATGGACATGTGCCAGATATGTAAAGGGAAGAGGGAAGTGAGGTCAGTGAGAGAAAGGCATCCTGATAAGCCTAGGCAGAGGCAGGCTGGCATTTCACCAGCGTTAGGAGGGTTATAAGGCACAGGGCAGAATGGCATGAGGCTCATACCAGTGCAGTATTAATGGACTGGCTGTCAACTCTTGATTTTTCTGTGGCTGGCATATCCCACCCAAACTCTCAAAGTCTCTTCAATCCTGCACCATCCTACTCTGATCTAACCACTGGCTGGGCCCCTTTCAGGCCCTTCCACGTGGGGCAACCTGTTCAGGAGATTAAATTCAGCCTTGAAGCAGCAGCACGTTCTGGTTGCTGTCATGCTGAATTGATGACTCTGTACGCAGCTCTATATCTATCTGATAAGACACCTAGGTGAACTCCCACTTTACTGGAGGGGCTCAACACCACTAGGTGTCTCTGTCCTTGTCTCTGTCCTTTCTGCATAGACTATTGCAGTATAACACAAAAAATAACTCCAATGACTATCAAGAGGGAGACTGAGTAAATGGTTCCCATGGTTAATTTATACTGTATTTTCCAGTCTGATTTGTCTAGCTTCAATTTCCAGACATTGGATCTTGTTACACCTTTGACTCCTAGATTGAAGAGCCCTTTATTATTAATCTTTCGTTCCCAATATAGGTGCTTACAGATCATCTTCTCAGCTCTTAAGCCACCTGTGAATACGGGCTGATAACTCCCTTCTGACTCTCCTGTTAATGGTGCTCCCTATCCCATTGCCCATTGGGGTTTGATAGCTCCTCATTCCCTCCCTGTTACATTCCCCAGTGTCTGTCATCAGAGGCCTAATACCCCCTGTCCTTTCCCCACTTTGCTGTCAACGGGTCTCCAATAACATTTTTGCACTCTCACCTGCGAGTGGGGGTCCGAGGAGGATGGTGACGCTCTCCAGGATGGTGAAGAGGCCTAAGGCACTTGAGAACCTGTCCATCTCCACCACATCCATCAGCACCTGGAAGATCAGCGCCCCAATGCCACTCATGGATATGCTGTAGATGAGGCAGTAGAGGATGAGCACGCTGAAGTCGGCTGAGATGACGCAGATGAGATTGCTGAGCCCGTTGAGCAGTACGGCCAGGCTAAAGAGGTAAATCCGCTTCCCGGTGAAGATATTGAGTCCTGAGAGCAGCCCAGCCATGGGGCGCATGAAGATGTTAATGAAGCCGATGACGGAGATCAGGAGAGCGGCCTTGCGCTCCTCCACCCCGTTCCAGACGGCATAAGGCACCAGGTAGATGAGGGGCAGCACAAAGCCCATCACCATCCAGGCCACTCCAATGGTGTAAATCTGGTAACCTTTGTTTTTGCAGAAGATATCAAAAGCCAGGTACTTCTGCAGCGTCCGCTTGCAAGCAGCAAACCTGGCCTGCTGCGGGGGCTCCACCTGATGAGGGGTGGCTCCGTTGGACATCTGTGCATCTTCAGCTAAGTTGCCTGGCTCCTGTCCAGGGCTGGGCTGCAGCGGTGACCTGGGAGGCCCAAGCTGGACTGGCCTCATCACGGCCCCACAGACACAAGCGTTCAACAGCACCCCGCCAAAGATAAGGAAAGAGTTTCTCCAGCCCATCTCATCCAACAAGTACTGAGAGATCAATGGCCACAGCGTGAGGCCGATGGAGGCACCGGTGGATGCTAGGGCATTGGCCAAAGCCCGTCGGCGTACAAAGTAGTAGCCCAGCACAGTCACTCCTGCCTGGAAGCCAAAACAGGATCCTAGACCTTAAAAAAGAAAGAAAAAAAGCAACATCTTATTTCTATACAGTGCTTTTTGGCTGGAAAGATCCCAATGACCCAAGCACCCCTTCTTCCACCACTGAAGTACTTCTCCTTCTGCAGTGCAGGATGTCAGCTCTACAGCAGCACACAGAAATGCTACTTGATAGTTCAGGATGGGAGGTGAAGTTGAATGCTGTACCTAGATGAAGCTGCAGGCAGCCTTCGGCTAAGTGTACATATCTAAACTGAGAGGTGTCCAAGATACCCTATTCTTGCTACAATTGCTATGGGATTGTTAATGACCAGAAGTGGCCATGACTTCCATTTTACATCTCATGCAGCAGCAGCTCTGTGCCGTCACAACACCATTTTGAGGTATTGGTTCACTAGGGGTTCAGAGAGAAGAGTGATGCTTACTGAATCCTCAACTGTACTAGGGAGTTATTTGTAGGTCTCCCATCCAAGCATTGACCAATTCTAACCTTGCTTTGCTTGTGAGATCCCATAGGATCAAATCCCAAGGTGATCTGGCTGCAGAAATTCATTGTTTTATGTTACAAGAGAGCAAGAGTCCAACACCACCTCCATAAGAGCTATTGAGAAGGGGAGAAGTGAACATAAGAATGGCCATACTGGGTCAGACCAAAGATCCATCTAGAATCATAGAACTGGAGGAGACCTTGAGGGGTCATCTAGTCCAGTCCCCTGCACTCGTGGCAGGACTAATTATCTAGACCATTTCTGACAGGTGTTTGTCTAACCTGCTCTTAAAAATCTCCAATGATGGAGATACCACAATCTCTAAAGGTAATTTATTCCAGTGCTTAACCGCTTCCTAATATCCAACCTAAACCTCCCTTGCTGCAATTTAAGACCATTGCTTTTTGTCCTATCCTCAGAGATTAAGAAAAACTATTTTTCTTCCTCCTCCTTGTAACAACCTTTTACATACTTGTACTTGAAAACTGTTATGTCCCCTCTGTCTTTTGTTTTCCAAACTAAACAAACCCAATTTTTCCAATCTTCCCTCTTAGGTCATGTTTTCTAGACCTTTCATAATTTTAGTTGCTCTTCTTTGGACTCTAGCCCAGTATCCTGCCTTCCGACAGTGGCCAATGCCAGATGCTTCAGAGGGAATGAACAGAACAGGTAATCAGCAAGTGATCCGTCCCCTGTTGCTCATTTCCAGCTTCTGGCAAATTCCCATTTTTATTACTTCTGTACAAAACCCCGCCACATTATTATGTTTGTTCTTAGAAAAAAGGTGTCTCCATCCCTCTGTAAATTGGGAGGAGTGAAATGTGGACACACACAATCCATCTGGATAACATTTTCCCCCAACACACCCCATTCCAGTTCCAGTGAAATTAGGGTCTGAAAAATTTGTTGCGCTGTATGCGATATATGCTCCCTCCCCGCTCCTCAAAAATAAATCACCAGCCAGCTTCTAAAAGTGGTAGTCATTTTTTTACTGATTGTCCCCATTTGTGACCCCTAGTCCTGTGTGGCTCACAGGAGAAGCAATTCCCAGGGAACCCAGCTGAACAATGGGTGGAATAAAGGGGAGTGGAGAAGGATACTGGCTATTCAGGACATTAATCCTACTGCGCTGCGATTCTTCTGATCTTTCCTGTTTGTCAGACGGGGGAAGGAACCTATGCACTTATTCCTCCCTGGACACTAGCTACATCCAAATACCAACCATAGTGATTTCTTTTTCATGCCCGAACTTGGTACTCACCAGTAATGAAGCCGGCTGTTATGTAGAGCTGGCTGATGGACTTGGAAAAGGAGCTGGCAACCATGCCCACTCCACTGAGTAGGCCACCGAGCATCACAGTGAACCTGCAGCCAAATCGCTCCACCAAGATGCTGCAGAGGGGCCCTATAAAGCAACCAAACAAGCATCAGGAAGGAATCAAGGATGGACAAGTTGTTCTGTCTTGGGTTTTACCCTAGTGGCTGGAGGAACAAAGCTCCACTTGTTCTGAGTGCACAATATGATTTAGTTTGGAATTCCCCTGTGATTGTCCCTGGTCACACAGGAATAAAACCCAACTCTCCTGATACCGCGCCTCCTGCCCCACCCCCAGCCCCCTGATCTCCTGCTTCTCTTACGTTAGTAAGGGAAAAGACTCCCTTGATCTGATCATCCACTGGCTGTTAGGGTAAGAACAAAAAAAAGATTTCCATGATTCTGTGGGGTAGATTCTGGGTTCAATGGGGGCAGGGGGAAGTTCTTCAAATGGAATTCTGTGTGCACATGGTGTAGATTCTGGGCACGTTCTGGAAGAGGAGAAGAACATGTCCTGGATTTCTGTGCCCACTGGGAATAGATCCTGGGAAGAGCTTTAGCTCCATTTACAGGCCTCTAGGAAGGGAGATGGGACAGAGATGTAATCATGACATTGTGGCTTTTTAAATGTTTTGCAATTAAATCTTACAAACATCTCTGAGCCTCCAGTTCAGTGCCGGGGCTCCCGCAGAAGCTCCATGGGTGCACAGGGGCTGGAGCCGGCCACAGTGATACTCCTAGCCCGCTTCCCACTCCCAGTGCTAGGTTTGCCCCAAGTCCAAAGAGCTTCCAGTTGGCTCCTCGCAGCCCGCTGATCCCCTATAAGAGCAGAGCAAGGGCTGGGGAGGGCTCCTATACTGCAGGAGGGAGGGACATGTGAGGGTGAGGGGGGGATGAGGAGAAGAAGAAGGGATGGAGGAAGAAGGGAAGGGGACAAGTAGGATGCACAGATACTCCAGGTGCTACTGCAGTATAAAGAGGGAGAGAAAATGGTGGAATGAAGCACCCAAGAGAAAGAAACAAGAGGAGTGAAATATGGAGAAAATCCACCCAACTAGAAACAGATGAATTCTTGTGCAAGTGGGCTCAGTTCCCAGAGACTTCCCACTTTGCCCAGGCTGACTTTGTCCTGGAGTCCCTGTCAGTCACAGCTGGGAGGTGCCAGCTCAAGGAGAGCCAATTCAAACCTCAGGAAGTCCAGCAGAGTATTGTACTTGGCAGTAAATTCTGAGACACCCAAACCAGCTTGTCAGACATCAGCCTGGGACATGGAAGATTTGGGTTCCAGCCCAGCTCCGACACAGAATTCTTGTGTAACCCTGGCAAGTCATTTCATTGCTTGAGGCCTCCGTTTCCCCACATGTAAAAGGGGATAGTGCAAATTTCCTCTCTTAGAGGAATGCTGTGGGGGTTAATTTGTTAATGTATGTGAAGTGCCCGGATGCTGCAGGCCTTAAAACGCTTGTACATAAAGCCAGTGAGAGTTTAGAGCTGGGTTCAAACTCTGCAGTGTAGGTTCAAATTCTAATTAAAAGATCACAGCAGCTGTTTAGAAGTTTCTCTTGCTGAATCTAATGACTCTGAGCCTCCAGCAAACCCCTCTTTATACTGTTCCTTCCTCTCTCTCCAGCTCCACTTTCTTCAGCATCAGTTATGGAGCCAGTGCCTGCTGACAGCTCCCTGTTAGTGCTTGGCTGATGGGTCCCACTGGAACCTGAGCAGCTTCCAGCTCCTATCCCTTTGGGTCCTGCTTGAAAACATTTCAGTAAGTGACTCTAAAACCCCGGCAGTCCCAGAGCTCTCCCTAAGGGCCAGCTCAGTGCTCTGCTTCCCGGGAAAGGAGCTGAAAACAACTGCAGGGCTAACCTGGAGGCACTGAGCCAAAGAGATGGAACGGCATTCCGAGCTCTCAGCAGTTGATAGCGAAGTAACAGAGTATCCGATGTTTCAGAAGTCTAGAACTGGGCAACGTTCAACCAGGGCTGAGATTTGCCGCTAAAGAAAAGTCCCGAAACAAGTCAAGGATGGGAGGGAGATAGGAAGTGCCCTTGCAGACGATCATGTAGTAACAAAAGGAGGGACACATTTTTGTCTGCATTAAAGTCAAACCTGTTAGGGTCACAGGCATTTAAGCCGTGGCCCGTGGAGTTCTGCATCTGCCCTGCAATTGCCCTGCCTCGGAGAGTACTAATGCTATGTTGCTGATGCAGCTCCTTACGTCCGGCAAGCCCAACACACTTGAAAATGGGGAGTGAGGGGGAAATGTCATTAGCTCCCCTTTGGGGAGGGAGAAACTGAGTGGTGCAGTGATACAGTGAGAGATGTAGTCACAGAGCCTAATGCTTCAAAGAGGCCAGAGCCCGTGTCTGCTATACATCTCCAGTGGGAGGACTGGGTTTTATTGTTTACATTGCTGGTGAGTTCTGCTAACAAGTGATTTCTGTTCATCTAGCAAGGAAAATATAAGGCACAAGCAGAGGCCACTCTAGCTATAGGCAGACTAGTCTGTTGTAAGGGTGGTAGGGGATGAGGCTGCCCAGGGAGGGGCAGCTATCAGCTGGGGCTCTGGGGAATGGGAAGCAGCCCCCCCCAGCCAGGCTGCCTGTGCAGCACTCCCACCCACTTCCCAATAGCTCCCCACCCCTAGCATGGAAAGGTCACAGCCGCTGAGTGGGCAGGGGGGATCTGGGCTGCTCATTATCCAGGGCTCTACAGGCTGGGAGCTGCCCTCCCCCGGTGTCCTGGTGTCAGACTGTTCCCATCCCACGGGGTCTGTCACCGGGGCCCAGCAACCTCTGCAGCCCCAGCAACCTCTGCAGCCCCAGGCCAGGATCTGGCCCATCAGCCTCCGACCCGGCTGCATGAAGTTCAGGGGAGGGGGTGACAACAGCAGGGGAGGTGCTGGGGCATCTGCCATGAACTCCTAAGAGAGTAGGCGCCGGGGGTGGGAGGGAGGCAGAACACTGAGGTTTTGCCCAGGGCGACCAATTGTCTTGAGCAACTTCTGTGCACAAGCAAGTATGGATGTGTGGTCAGTTAAGTACATGTAAACTTATGCAGTTTTGGAGCACCCCATAGACTCCTGGTAAATTGCCAATCTAGCCCTTGGTATTGCAAATTTGGGTCACTTCTCTTTAGGGCAGGGTAAGAATAGTGGTGACATGCCGGCAAGTTGCCAGAGAGGAACATGCTCCTCCTAGGGTGACCAGACAGCAAATGTGAAAAATCAGGAGGGGGTCAGCAGTAATAGGAGCCTATATAAGAAAAAGACCCAAAAATTCGGACTGTCCCTATAAAATCGGGACATCTGGTCACCCTAGCTCCTCCGTTCAAAGGGCCTGTGTTCTAGTGAAAGAGGAAGTGAAGCTAGAGTTTCCCTTTTGTTCCTAAGAGGAGGCCCAAGGATTTTCAGGTTTTTTGTTTTAATACAGCGTTACATAAGCGAATCTAAAATGGTCACAAGCTTCAGCATCAGCAACTGATCAGAGTGGGGAAAATAGCTTGGCTCATGTTTGTGGCCTAAGGCAATATGCTATTTGAAACAAAATCCACAATTGTCAACCAAACAGCTGAATGTGATTAAAACGAAGGCTGCAGCTGCCTATATTTTGATCTGCTTGAGAAACTTCACCTGGTCGTAGCTGCATTAGAAAAGGTAATCTGCAGGTTCAGCAAACTGAGAGCAGAATTTTATTTCTGAGTGGAGAGCCTAAAGGATGGTGGGTAGGATAGTCAACCCCAAACATGCAGAATTAATGAGTCCAGCCCCCTAAAACCATGAGATTGGGTTAAAAATCATGAGATTAAAAACAAAAAAAAGCATGTTCATTTTTTTCTTTGCCTTTTGGATTCTGAGCCTTTAGAATGCGTTTTCTTCATGTTTTCAAGCTTTTTTCTGCAACTATGAAAGCTAGAGGGGAGTAGCGCTAAAATCGACCTTGCTGGGTCGAATTTGGAGTAGTGCGGACGCAAATCGATGGTATTGGCCTCCGGGAGCTATCCCAGAGTGCTCCATTGTGACCGCTCTGGACAGCACTTTGAATTCCGATGCACTAGCCACTAGGCAGGTACACAGGAAAAACCCCGGGAACTTTTGAATTTCATTTCCTGTTTGGTCAGTGTGAGGAACTCAGCAGTATAGGTGACCATGCAGTCCCCCCAGAATCGTAGAGCGTAGAATGTTTCTACAATCCCCCTATCATCTCCGTCCCTGAGGTTATCGCAGATTAGAAGGCGAAAAAAACGCACTAGTGATGACGTGTTTTCCGAGCTCATGCAGTCCTCCCGCACTGATAGGGCACAGCTTAATGCATGGAGGCATTCAGTGGCAGAGGCCAGGAAAGAATTAAGTGATCGCGAAGAGCGGAGGCAGGACGCGATGCTGAGGCTAATGGGGGAGCAAACGGACATGATGAAGCGTCTGTTGGAGGAGCAAACGGACATGATGAAGCATCTGTTGGAGCTGCAGGAAAGCCAACAAGAGCACAGACCCCCGCTGCATCCACTGTATAACCGCCTCCCCTCCTTCCCATGTTCCATAGCCTCCTCACCCAGACGCCCAAGAACACGGAGGTTGGGGGGAGAGGCTCCGTGCATCCAGCCACTCCACTCCAGAGGATGGCCCAAGCAACAGAAGGCTGTCATTCAAACAATTTGATTTTTAGTGTGGCTACAATAAGCAATGTGGCCTTGTCCTTCCTTCCTCCCTCACCCCACCCGGGCTACCTTGTCAGTTATCTCCTTTTTTTAATTAATAAAGAAAGAATGTATGGTTTCAAAACAACAGTTACTTTGTTTCGAAGGGGGGAGGATGGTTGGCTTACAGGGAATTAAAATCAACAAAGGGGGCAGGTTTGCATCAAGGAGAAACACACACAACTGTCACACCGAAGTCTGGCCAGTCATGAAACTGGTTTTTAAAGCCTCTCTGATGTGCAGCATGCCTTGCTGTGCTCTTCTAATCGCCCTGGTTTCTGGCTGCTCAAAATTGGACGCCAGGCGATTTGCCTCAACCTCCCATCCCGCCATAAACGTCTCCCCCTTACTCTCACAGATATTATGGAGCACACACCAAGCAGCAATAACAATGG